CTGATTGTACGAATGCTTACACAATTACGAAAGGCCGGATTAGATACCAGTGTCAAGAAAATATTTGATACTCCCTCGTTAGCCGCACTAGCTGAAACTATTGGCAAATACCAGACAGTCAGTATTCCACACAATCTGATTACGGTCGATAGCACTGTTATTACTCCAGAAATATTGCCGCTTATTGATCTATCGCAGGAAGAAATTGATGTGCTGGTCGAAGTGGTGCCTGGTGGTTTAACCAATATTCAAGATATTTATGGACTAGCACCATTGCAGCAAGGCATCTTATTTCACCATGTGATGGTCGAACAAGGTGATCCGTACTTAATAAAGAGTCATTTTCAATTTAGTGATCGTGCTACACTTGATAACTATGGAATTGCGCTGCAACGAGTGATTGAACGGCATGATATTCTGCGTACTGCCTTCATTTGGGAAGGACTCAGTGAACCGGCACAAGTAGTTCTGCATCGAGTTCCTTCGATACTCACCAAAGTTTCATTGGATGATATAGATGACCAGAACAATTGTCTAGAACAATTAAATGATCGGTTCAACCCACGTCACTTCCGACTAGATTTAAAACAAGCACCACTGTTGCGTGTGTTTGCTGCTCAAACGTCTAAAGGAGATTGGATAGCGTTGCAGCTGATGCATCACATAATTGGTGACCATGTCACCCTACAGAGAGTGCATGCAGAAGTGCAAGCCATCATCAATGGGCAGAGTTATCAGTTGGCCACACCCACACCATTCCGCTGTGTAGTGGCTCAAGCTCGTCTAGGTGTTAGCCAAGGCGAACATACTCACTTCTTCAGTGAAATGCTTGCTGACATCGATACACCAACCCTACCTTTTGGTCTGAGCGACGTTCATGATGATGGGACTGAGATCGATGAAGCGCATTTGAAGTTACCACAGGAGCTTAATAATCAGTTACGGGCGCATGCACGTCATTTCCGTGTCAGCTTGGCCAGTCTTTGTCATTTGGCCTGGGCACAGGTACTTGCCCGAGCCAGCGGAAATGAAACAGTGGTATTTGGTACTGTGCTACTTGGTCGATTACAGTCCGGAGAAGAAAATGACAGTATGATAGGGTTATTGATAAACACGCTACCTTTACGGCTGGATATCGATGATACTACAGTCGAATACGCTGTACGCAACACTCATTCGCGTTTGAGTGATTTACTGTCTCACGAATATGCATCATTGGCGTTAGCGCAACGCTGTAGTGGAGTGCCATCTTCATTACCTCTTTTCAACTCATTGCTAAACTATCGCCATAAATCTCAGACTGAGTATGCCATCGACACACTCGCTGGAGTGAATATTGTCGGAAGTGAAGGGCGAACAAATTACCCAATAACTTTGTCGGTGGACGACGACAACAATACACTGAGTCTCATGGCTAGTATTGTGTCGCCGTTGTCAGCATCAAGGATTTGTGGTTATATGCAACAAGCACTGGTCTCACTTTCCAATGCACTAACACTCACACCACAGATACCTGTATGCACATTGACTGTGATGCCACTAGAGGAACGAGAGATGCTGTTGAATACATGGAACCAGACGACAGTTAATTATCCACCTGTTCGTTGCCTTCACGAGCTATTTGAAGAACAAGTAATGCGCGACGGACATACAATTGCCGTGGAGTGCAAGGGAGAAACCTTGAGCTATGCCGAACTCAATGCTCAAGCAAATAGATTGGCTCACTGCCTGATTGCCAAAGGTGTTAGGCCAGATGACCGCATCGCACTTTGTGTTAAGCGTAGCACGAAAATGGTTGCTGCCCTTCTCGGAATTCTAAAAGCCGGTGGTGCCAATGTACCGCTCGATCTGGCCTACTCCAGTCAACGGCTAACGAATATTTTGAATGACGTCAATCCAATGTGTGTATTAGCAGATAGCAGTGGCCAGAAAGCACTTGGTATCCATCAGGTGCCAGTGCTAGGCTTAGATAAAGTATTTCTTGATGGCCTTTCGGTCGATAATCCGGATCCGAACAAACTGGGGCTCACTTCTTCTCATTTAGCGTATGTGATATATACATCCGGTTCGACTGGAATACCGAAAGGAGTGATGATCGAACACAGGAATATAACAAATCTCCTTTACTGGAGTCAAGAAGCGTTCACAGCCGAAGACTTAGAACATACCTTGTTTTCAACATCTATTGCTTTTGATGTATCCGTTTTCGAGTGTTTTGCGCCATTGTCTGTGGGAAAAATGATACATATTGTCGAGGATGCACTCGCGATTACACATAATCCGTCAAATATATCCCTATTTAATACAGTGCCTTCTGCAATGACGGCTATATTAAATGCTGGAACTTTACCATCTTCGCTCCATAACCTAAATTTGGCAGGCGAACCATTAAATTCTAACTTAATCGAACGTATTTTTACCCAAACGCAAATTGCAACACTATCGAATCTTTATGGCCCATCTGAAGCGACAACTTATTCAACTTGGCACAAGTATAAACGAGGTGATGTGAGAATTGAAACGATAGGGCGGCCCATTGCCAATACCCGCATTTATGTGCTGGATTCACATAGTGAGCCAGTGCCGTTGGGAGCCGAAGGAGAACTATATATAAGCGGTGCTGGTGTAGCTCGTGGCTATCTCAATAGAACTGAACTTACAGCTGAACGATTTCTACCTGATCCATTCAGTGAAAATCCAATGGCACGAATGTACCGAACCGGTGATCGAGCCCGTTATATGCCTGACGGTAATTTAGTCTATATAGGTCGCACTGATCAACAGATAAAAATACGCGGTTTTCGAATCGAACCTGGTGAAATCGAAGCCCGCCTCAATGAGCATCATCTGATACATGAAGCTGTGGTTTTATCATGGAAAAATCAGCCTGATTCTGATGCCCAATTAGTCGCCTATGTAGTGGCAGAGGCAGACACATCGTTGGCTCAGAATCTACGCAATTATCTAGCATCCTTGCTACCTGATTACATGGTGCCGGTGGCTTATGTTTTTCTATCGTCTTTACCACTAACACCCATTGGCAAACTAGACCGACGTGCACTGCCAGCTCCAGATGATAAGGCATTCGTCCGTCAATCATATGAGGCACCGCAAAGCGTAATGGAACAAAAATTAGCAACAATTTGGAGTGATCTGCTGGATATTGATCGCATTAGCCGACATGATAATTTCTTTGCGTTAGGTGGCCATTCTTTGCTGATTGTACGAATGCTTTCAGAATTGCGGAATATCGGATTGGATACCAGTGTCAGGGAAATATTTGATACTCCCTCGTTAGCCGCACTAGCTGAGACTATTGGCAAATACCAGACATTCAGTATTCCACCCAATCTGATTACCAAAGACATCACGATGATTACTCCAGACGTGTTGCCACTTATCGATCTATCTCAGACAGAGATTGATACATTGGTCAAAGAAGTGACGGGCGGTATAGCTAATATACAAGATATTTACGGGTTGGCACCTTTGCAGCAAGGGATTTTGTTTCATCATTTGCTCACCGAACAAGCCGATCCGTACTTAATGATGAGTAGTTTCAAAATTAGTGATCGAGTGGTACTGAATCGTTATGCATTCGCTTTACAACAAGTAATTGAACGACACGATATATTACGCACCGCTTTTATATGGGAAGGTCTCAGTGAACCGGCACAAATCGTCTTGCATCGAGTTCCATTCTTACTCACCGAAGTCACGCTGGACGATACCAAGTCAGTACTAGAGCAGCTTACACATCGCTACAATTCTAGTCAATATCGAATGGATCTCAAACGTGCACCGCTATTGCGCCTGATAGCTACACCAACGTGTGGAGGGAACTGGATTGTATTGCAATTGATGCACCATATAATTGGTGACTACTTTACTATACAGAAACTAAATGCAGAAGTGCAAGCCATTATCAATGGACAGAGTGAACAGTTGACCACACCCACACCATTCCGCCATGTAGTGGCTCAAGCTCGTTTAGGAGTTAGCCAAGCCAAACACATGCAGTTTTTTAGAGAAATGCTTTCGGATATTGATAAACCAACCCTACCATTTGGTCTGAGCGACGTTCATGACAACGGAATTGAGATCGATCATGAGCAATTGAAGCTATCACAGGAGCTGAATAATCATTTGCGAGCACTTGCACGTCATTTCCG